TCTACCCTGCGGCAAGAACTCATCAATGGAACATTTGGAATATGCCCGCGCACTACAAGTTGTTTTTTTACACAAAATTTAATACAAATTCTTTGATCCATTTTTTGGAATAGACAAAAATCGGAGACAAGCTAAAACACGTCCACGCACAATAGCTGTCAAAAACTGACTGAACATTCAAAATGGCCGATATGAATACCAACATAACGCCACAAAAAGGTCGAAAATTCAAAATTTGCGATACTTTTTAAACAAACGTCGGATATCTACAAATTGCATTAGATAGCAATTTGATCGACAATCGTCACGTTGATGCATTTTCGGGGCTTAGTAACTCTTAAATGCCGCTAGGATCTTCAATCCCATGTTCGCCTTTTTGATGGCTATTTCAATCGGGTAACGTCAATGTCTTTTTGGCTTCCATTATGTCTATCTTCATGTACCCAATTAAAATCAAAGAATAAGTCAAAGTCCTTTTTTGGTTGTCTATCTTCAGGTACAATACGTTAATCAATGATGACCCTGATTCCTATGCATCGCCCCATCGCCTCAGTTTGCGGAGTGAAAAAGTGTATTCGAAAGATTCCCCGACTATAGAATTAACAAGGTTTCCCAAGAAAACTTTGTAACGAATCTCCCTCGAGGTAACTAAAATACATCCCTCTAAAAAGTTCTGCACTGAATACGTTATCAGGTTGAGACGAAACCAAAATCGACGTGGCATCTTTATTTCAGATAGCAGCATTGATTAAAATGGAAATTCACACCTCTCGAGAACAGCCAGAATGAAGTCTAGGGTCTCCGTCTCGCATTCCTGTTCCCGTTCCTGTTCCCAGTTCACACCTAGTCTCTAATTAATACCTCTGGAACGGCCCGTGTTGCGGCTAAGATGACATACTTCGTTTGTTTTTAACATAATTATAAGTTGCTTTGAACTGAGCAAACTAGATTGAGATGTCACGATACCAGATAGGGGCGAAGGCGAAACAATAGTACAGTAGTTGTTGCAGATCAGGCGATTGTGATTCTTTTTAATACTTATCCTAAAAAGTTAATTTTCGCCCCCTAGGTAAATAGTGGTAACCAAAAAACTTGTAGGCTAATCATGATTGTGTGCATTCATATGTAGGGTTCCTTTGGCTTGCTGGGCACAGAATTGTTATCGCTAAACATTTTTCCATGTATGAATTACACAGGCCCATGAAATGGCGTCAAGTAGGTTGACCCTGCGCTTCCTATGCAGTTCAGAAAAAACAGTTACGAACATGTACAATAGAGAAACTAAAGTCAGACGAACAGGTCCATACAATTAGTCAATACACGCCCTATCGGTAGTTACCGTCCATCTGGCAACGTTGCCCCTGCTCATATGAGACACGGTAGTGCCAGGGCCTTATGCTCCGCTGTTCGATTTTCGTCCGCCGGCGCGCATGACGTCACGCGGAGAGTGATTATCATTTGGGTTGATATGGATAACGTGCATATTTTCACCTACAGGCCAAACGGCTGGACGGATTTTCACATACGAGGTGTCGTTGGATTCGTCTTAGCGGTGCGGTACATTAAAATTTTATACAAAACAAAATGGTGGATTTTAATAAAAGATTTCAACCCGGTAATTCCTATTTCACAGGCTATAGCTTAAACGGCTTCTAGCTCCACAATAGAGCGTATCGTCTCTTCACTGTAAAAACAAGATAATTCCATTTTTCTACATTACCTATATTTTAGTATGTTCACCTATAAAATTTTGCTTTTTTGTCACTATTCCGTCCCCATCGAATGTGGTGAGTACCATGTTCAGCTTCTCAATTTGATTCATGAAAGTTGCGGAAGGTCTTGATTATCCACCCTCCCACCCTCACTAAGATGGTCTATCCATGAATAAGTTTCATTTGAGGAACTTTTCAACTTCTCATCCTGTAATTTATTGCAAACAAAGCCGGCCAAATTTTCCAGGCCGTCATACTCGAGCTCATCTATTTCTTCCACTAAAACTTGCTCAGTATAGTCAGCTGATGCTTCAGGTGCATTCAGTTTATTTTCGTTAATGATGCGGTTAGTGGTTAGTGGAATGTCTGGAGTGTCCTCTGAGTCTACGCTGCAATAGAGGTACTCTGAGTACTTGGACAAAATTCAAGCAATGAGGACTCTTTATACTTTATTAGTCTGTAGCTTTCAATGGACTTTGCCATCATCATCTGGCGCTTAGGTTCGAGCACTTTCGTCTATCACTACTAGAATACTCGATTTCAACCTCACCTAGCTCCCTCTCTGGATATGATTCTCCACCACTGACTTAAACAATCATTTATCCTTTGTGCTTCCGTAGATGGTAAATGCATAACATTCCTCGTTCTCCACACCGAAATTCCCTCTTCTGTCCTACCGGGAATTAAATTCATTCATTTTAGAAAGAAAAAACTCGAATCAATCTACAGCTTATATTAATCTATTATAGCTTGCTTTTAGACATGTTGCCCAGTAGATCGCTATTTTGCTTAGTTATTTATAATGTTTAGTCGGTATTTTGTGATTTGGGAATATGGTTCTCCAGCCTTTCTGCATTTTTTATCGTACACTGATAGAGCTAACGGTTTGACTGCATCTCAGAGAGCACACTGCGTTGTTTTTTATTTTCCTGTTATTAGTCCAGGCCCTGGGGATGAATAGTTCAGTCGAAAAGTGGTCTAGAACAGCGAAAAAATCACATTTATACGGTACTCGGCATGGTTTTTGTGTCAGTTTGTTGTTTTTCATATCAAGATCGTTTTAAAGACAATTCTTAAAGGAATCAAGTAAATTATATCGTTCTGCTCTAATTCTAGCAGTTGTGCTGAAGGGATGTTTAAGAGATGTTTAAAAAACAATTTCAGCAACAATATCGCCGACTTAGTAAGTAAATATTTTTCCTCCTAATTGTTAAATGTTGCTATTGTCAATAATTGTTTCCAGCTTCAGACGATGAAGACATAGATCTTCGAAAGCTCGAGTTTAAGTTATAAGAGTGCAATACTCTGCTTTCTACCCAAAAAAATTCAAGGATATATATAATACTGAATTTTTAGACAAGTCGACAGGGATCTATTTCTTATGTTTTGTGCAACAATTTATCCCTAGCTTTTCTGAATTAGGGATTTATATTTAATTAATAATAATCACTATAGAGACCTGAAGGTATGATGGATATTTGAATACATTGAATCAGATAGTGGTAGAATGTAAATTCGTTCCACTTTTATTCGATTGAACAATGTTCATGAATATATGGGAAACGTATGACGATATGGAAATACGTAAGATTTATACACACTGCTGTAATGGTTCGGTGTGTCCTGATGAAGAACGTATCGCGGCACATAAAACACGACACTGCCAAATTCGATATTAATGTATATCGAAGGGGCGTGACAGTAATGCAAAGTACAGCTTTCGACATGGAAACTAAAAGGCATTTTTTGGTGTCTATGATAACAGCTTAATCAAAACAAAATAATTTATTTTGACAGACGAGTGCTATCGCTGTTCAGCCCACCTCTGGTCAGGGCTTAATCACAGAAAATATATTCGAAATGAAATTATTTAAAACGTTTAAAAGGGTGTCAGAAGCAAGAAACGAAAAATTTCCATGACAAAAACGACGTGAAGGTGCTGTGCAAGTGGCTGAGTTTTATTATTTCTCTTCATTATCTTTTATTGTGCCGGCCATTTTTATGAGCTAATTTATCATTTCAAATTCTAAGACAATTTCCTGTTTGGAAAATAGATTTCTTAATTATACCCGACTGTTCGGACCATTTTGGTAACGACTGCGACGGGTGCATTTACGAATCTGTATACTAGAGTCGGTGTAATTTTACGGAAAAAGTATACGTAGGATATAGCCTCGAAATAGAATTGAATTATAAAAAGTAGATCTACTATCTATCTATCCTGAGAACTTTTGTTTTGTTGATCTTGAATAGACTAAGGTCAACAGAACCAGCAGATTGTTGCACATTTTCGATAAGCTAGAAATAAGAAATAAATTATGCCGATTTGTTTTTAACGTATGGTACTAGACAAAGAATGAGAGGCATAAATCTGGCAAGCCTGCGTAGCGGGCATTAGGATATCGATATAACAAAAATGGCGTCATTTAGGTTGATTCTGCATCAATTCGGATACACTGGTCTGTACTTCCCATGCAACGCCGTTGTCAGTTCATAAAGGACACTTGTAAAAACCGGTACGCCGGTCGGTGAAGCCAGAGAGCAGACGCAAGGGCGCGTGTGGAAAATATTTCTCTAACATCGTTCTAAGTTATAATGTACGGGGAAATCTATGATGTGCTTCAGAGTGGCGAATCGAAAACGAAACAGACGCATTTACTGGCAGCTCAGGTTTTTTTTTGGAAAAACGCTCAGACCCGTCTATTTTGTTTTCGAGGGGGGCACAAGTTTGGCAAATAATTACGTTAACATGTGTAGCCTCCTGGGCGGGGGTGACACCATCCCCAAAATCTTAAATGCAAAGGGGGTCGAGTGATACCTTATTTTAAAGGTCTTTCAAATCCCTTTATAATGATATAAAATTATTGTAAATGCGTCTGTTTCGTTTTCGATGCGCCACCCTGTATAATATGTACGTAGAATTAGCGAGGTAAGAAGTGTACTCATATATTAACATCAAAACATTGCGATATAACCTTCTCCACCTCCGTTTAACCTCAACCCTCCAATATTTTGCTTCTAAAAATGTTTTGTAAAAATTATCAGGATGCTTTGAAACGTCAAAAAACGAAATTTGAGCGCCAGTAGACGTGGGAAATGAAAGGACGAAATCTCATAGTGACTGCCTGTACAGCGCTGTTATACGAAAATTCCGTAATCTGAATTTGACTCACTAAGTACTTAAGATTGTATTGCATATACCTGTAATCTAGAGACCGAGAACTTTTATTATAGATCATTTTGGCACAAAAATACATATATATTGCTACTGTTTCTGTTTCGTTCCAGTCCCTCCAATGCTGTGGATCCCCCACCAGCTCGTCGGAGCTCCGTTGGCCTACTCTGTGACCTTGGAATGTTTTACCGAGGCTCATCCCAGCTCCCTAAACTACTGGACTCGAGAAGATGGTCAGATGATTCACGAATCCAAGAAGTACCACACCGAAAACATTGTAGGCAGCCCTTCGTACAAGACTCACATGAAGCTCACTATCAACGACATCCAGCAGAATGACTATGGAACTTACAAGTGCGTCGCCAAGAACCCCAGAGGGGAGACTGATGGAACCATCCGACTTTACAGTACGTATTCATATTTTTGGTCAAGGGCGATGTCAATTACCGCCGACCGCCTCGACTCTAACGTCTCTAAAGACCGCTTCTTTGTATTTAGGGCATGGAGATGGTGGAACAATCTACATGCGGAGACTTTTTTCTCAGTTGAGCAGTTCAAAAATCAGATGGAGCTTCTCTGGGGCTGCTGAGGCCGCGGTGTCCCGATACTTGGGCTTCCATCTACGTAGGTGCTTCGGTATAAAAAAACGCAGTGGCCTCTCACAGGATAACTACTCTTTGGTAGCACTTGGCCCTCTCGATACATAAATAACTATTTTCAATTTCCGTAAAACCTCTCATTGGCTGTTGACTATTTTTAGCGCTGGCACAATGTATTTTGCCGGGAATAACAGCGAAGATAACTATGATACAGATTTCGGATGTACAGTTACTTTGGCTAAAACGAAACAAACATACATAACGGTCGCATGATAATAATTACTTGTCAGAGGGAAAACAAATGATTTCGGGACGTTGTAGTATAATCGAATTACGCTGTGAATTACAGTGACAGCGGCAAAGTGCATTCTGAAGTGTGTGAACGTGTTATTCTGTCTCCCCGCAGCTGCCGGGGTGCCATCGCACTACACCGCCACCGGCTTGCTCTGATGTTTACCAATTTTATAACAAAAAGGGGACACAGCCAAAAGTTCACTTGTAGAAATTCAATTGAAGGGGTTGTATCCGGCAATGGATCAACTATGTGGTCTGTAATGTGATCTAAGGCAAAAACCCGAATACCGGGGCACTGCTACTGTTATAAGGAGCCTAATCCGATTTTTGAAACGCCCAACACCCTAAAGACAAAGGAGCGGTCGTACCGCTCGGTTCTACATGTACCAAGTTTGATACGGTTAAGATGGCGGGTCTCTGTAGCAGGTTCAACCCGCAACGGCATCATGTAGGAGATCTCTGAGGGGCAAAACCCGTTGACATAGCAGTAAAAGATAGCCAGATCCATTAGAGATGTGCCAGCGATCTATCGGACAGCCCTCTTCTGAACAGCATTGAGTAGGGACGGCAACACACTAAACATGTGAGCAGTACTCGATGCTATGTCTTATCTGAGCCTTGTGCAGAGTGAGGGGGCTACGTGGTGAAAAGTATTTGTTTGCCCTGAACAAATACAGTTCTCAGTGATCTGGACTCCGGCTCTTTTAAAAAACTCGGGCATCCATCGAAACCGGATAAACGCTAGAACACTTGTTGGTTATCAAGATACAGTACTATGTTTTGAAAGCATTGAACTCGACCACATTGTGGATCTCCAGGGCGTGATAACCTCGGAGTGTTTCGTCAGCAAGGAAGCCACAGCCAATCTTGCCGGCAGAGATCGGCGTGGCACTCTGAGTACTGCCATCAGCAAAGCTGCGGATTCAACTGATCGTATTTACATGGGAGGATTGAGTTGTTCTAATACAAAAACTTCATATAAACGTAAATCCGATAATACTTTTGTTCAAGATGCAGGGTGTTTTTTTAATCCACCTTCTCGTAAAGATCATCACCACTGTTTATACGACGTTGTTATTTTCGAAAAAGCCCCTGAAAAAATTTCTGAAAATGAGCAGGCATGTGGAAAACGTCAAAACACGAAGTTTGCGCTAATGATCTTTCTTTTTCTGTCAGTAAATATCCCGCTACTGTATTAGTTCTCAAAGCTTAAAAAGCTTTTTTACCCTCGTCTATACTTTGTGTAAAATTTGTAGTAGGCTAAGGATAACCAGACAGACCGACATAAACATAATATTTAATTTTCAAAATTCTCGTTTGAAACTATATGCGAATAAAAAAAGTTGACGTTTCGAACATCTGTCGTATTCTAGGATATAAGTAACATTGAAAACTAACTGACTAAAATTTTAGTGCGAACCGGTCGTCACTTAGTGGTAGTAAAAATGGCCACGATGACTTTCCGACGAAAATTTCCACAATTTTTTTTGTGAGGGGGGAATCCGTTTATGCACCATACCATAGCCCGAGCTACGGCGGGGGGGGGGGGGGGGGGGGGCGAGGCCTCTCGTCCGGATCGTACTCCATGAGGAGTCGTAGAGACCTGCAGCAACGAAGGTTGAGTTTCTTAAGTAGGATGGTGCACTGGTGCCGATCCGGAGTAGCTTCATCTCTAGAGCAGCAAGTCGCTTGCGGTAGCTGGGGGCAGCGTACCCCCAGACCGCGGAGGCGTAAGCGAGCTGAGGTCTGGCGATGGCCTTTATCAGCCGTAGCTTGGTCGCTAGCGGCATCCGGCTGTGTCTACCCAGGAATGGGTAGAGTTGGGCCATGGCTGCTCTGGTCTTTGCGATGACAGCTTCTATGTGATCTTTCCAGATGAGGGACTTGTCAAATACGATCCCCAGATATTTGACTTTGTCGCTCCACTGGATTATCTTCGTCGAATTTCCACAATGGCTCGTGTTAGGACCTTTTATCCTGCGGTTATACCTGAAGGGATCAACTCGATAGGGCATGGAAGGGAAAGAACAAGGGAGTAATGATAAAATCCGATTAAAATGTACCTTAGACTTTGAAACGTTTATCACTGATAGTATCTGTACCTGAGGGAGCTGCAAAATTGCCGCAACTAAACGGTGGGGTTGCCAAATAATTATGTAAATTGGAAATCTTGTTTTTTTCTTACCAAAACATAGGGTTTTAGAGTGACCTGGTTCATTACAGGTGATGAGGTCATTCAAAGAAATTAGACAGATATGAGAACATTTTTCGGAAAAGTCCGATTATTCGATTGAAACGAGATTATATAGGAAGGGGCCTAAAACTGAACACTCATTTTTACTTTCTACTCCACTGGGCGAGGAAGTATTGTAATCGCAAAAAGTTCGAAAATAAGATATTGTTTGTTTGTGTTACTTGACGCCATTTTCTTGAAATCAGTTCATGAGAAGTGCGTAGTCAATTTAGTTGAGTCATTTTTTCTTCTCATCTGTATAACAGTAGATGCAAACGTAACTCAACTTTCCCATATAGCTTGAAGGATACTGCTACTAATTCGCTTAACATCCTGTGGCCATTTCTGCTTCAAATGAGCTTCTTTGTCGGAAATGGCGGTTTTCAACGGTAGAATTATGCCCGCCTTGCTTCTAGGCTTTGTCTGAATGTGTGTCTGTGTTGCATATTAAACTATTTTCATAGGTCATGGGTGCACGAGGGTCATTTTCTTGTATAGCTCAAAACATACAGATAATTAATAAACTGCGAAGAGGTGACTTTACCATAAGTAGCTAATCAGACGTGGTACTACCGATCCCCACATCGCCCACCACCATAGGCGTCTTATCACAATGCCGTACAAATTGCTACCAAGCATGAAACGGCGGTGTATATGTTAGGTTATGGTCACAGAGATGGAAATCAAACAGATGTTATTCAGCATGTGTTTATGCACACCGTGCATGAACATGAAAAAGGGCATGGTGAGCACTTAGCGACGCCTATGGTGGTGATTGACACTTGTCCTTGTCATCGAAGCGGACTTATGCAGACAAGCCTATATGGTTTTCTGCTACCGACTTAGTAGTCGGTAGTACCACGTTTGTTCGACATGGTGGGGATGTAAGGCCGAATTCAGGCATATTGGTCTGGCAGGCAAATCGCGCAGCGGTTCAGAAGATCAACGCTTGTTGGCATAGCGGAAGAAGAGATGTAGATCTCCGACGCCGAGACAGCCCTCTTCTGAACAACATCGAGCATGGAAAATGTAGTCGGGGTGCAGCACCCCAAACATGTGAGCAGTACTCGCGGCCTTGTACATGAAATTATGTGGGGAAAGTAATTCTTAGCTCTAAACAAATAGCCTACCGCTTCCCCAGCAGCTGCCGCTATTGACGAGGTGTATTCGTGCCAGATCAGGCCCTCGGTGATCTGGAGTCTGGAAGCCGTATGAACTTATATAGTATCACTAAAAACCGACCCTGTAGAATATCCTACTGCAATGTCCTTAAAACGGCGCTCCTGACCTGTTCTGTGGGCTATGAATTTTGCAAACTTTGCCTGATATTGTTTACGAAGGTGCGATTAGCCCTTTGTAAGTTCTACACTTAATTAATAAAATATGCTTCACGATCCAGAAGTCCAGATGAGTTTCTACGTATTTTAACAGGGCAGTGAAATTATAAGCATGATAATGTATAGCAAATATGTTAATTTTGTGGAAGGATGCTTCTGCTTGCCATACGTACATTAAAGATAAAGTTCACTCGAGCTTTCAATAAATAACAAGTGAACAGATACTTGGAATGCAGTCTCTGAAGCGCGACTTCCCTTTACAAATCATAGAGATCATCAACTTCACTCTGCCTCATACCTCACACCACATACACGGTGAGTTTTTAGTATGTAATATGTCGATAGCTCCATTTTTTTAAGAGACATCTAGAAAAGTTAGCTACAAAAATGCTAGGCAACTAATAGTCTAATCATTCCAGCAAATTTCCCCTGATGCAAGTTTTTCAAGGGAGTACCAATTTTTGTTGGGAAAACTGTTCATTCGACAACAAAGAATGAGAAAACGTGTTTTTTTAGGGATTCAATCGGAAGTGTTGTCAGGAATCAAAAAACTCTTCAAATAAGAATTATTGAACATACGTATACCTTTTTTTAACACGCTTTTATTATCTTGGATGTAACGGAATCTTTGAGCATAATTTTCATCAATTTCCAGGTTTGATTAATTGGAAATTTCGCACACGTATCAAAGACCGATATATCAGATTGCTGATATTTAAAATGGAGCTTGACTTGATTTCATTGCCATGATGGAAAAAGGGTGTAGTACGATCTTATTTGAAAAGTAGGTGCTAACTTGTGCGGAACATAATCTTTTATGAATTGACAACAGCGTTGCGTGGCAAGTGCAGAGTCAACCTACTTGACGGTATTTTTTCCTTATGCGGCTGGCTCGAGCCTTACCCCTAGTGTGTGAAATTCACCGGCAACAATCTTACGTCTCT